TATCAATATAATATATTTGTTCTATTACTAAATCATATCTAATTCTATTATTATTATTATTATTATTATTATTATTATTATTATTATTATTATTATTATTATTATTATTTCCATTGCTATTATTATTATTATTGATATTATTGTATTCCTTAAATTGTAGTCCATATTGTCGTGTTACCAATTTTTGCTATTTCATTCTAATAACTATTACTGTAATAAATTATTATTATTACTATTAAAAATACAAATGATATCATCTTCTTTTTCATCAAAACAATCATTAAATCAACAACTCTATCATTCACAATATTCGACCTCATCCATATATTGTACAAATAATGCACAATCATTAATTAACGATAATTCTATACCTATCACATCATTTTTCAACAATGTACAACACATTACAGTAACTGGATATATCATTTTTATTGGAATTATTCGATCGAAACAACAAATTATTCTTTTTGGTTTGTATCTTCCATTGATTCAAATTATTACAATGTTAATTACACTTAAACATTTTATAACGTAAATTACATTTAACATTCTACAGCGTGAATTACGCTTAAAACTCTTTAACGTGAACTATATTTAACATTACATAACATGAAATACGCTTTACATTATACAACGTGAACTACGCTTAATCTTCTCTTACAACTCTGCTTAACGTTGTACAATTATGAACCTACGCTTAATACCATGCAACATAAACTACGCTTAATATTATACAACGTGTATTACGCTTAATATTATATAACGTTGTAAATTACGCCCTTATTCCGTGACGTAACTTCCGTAATTTTCTCGTTTCCCCATTTCTAGCTATATTTTCATCTTTTTCATTATGTTTTACTTTTTTCCATCTCTTTATTAATGATGTTAATGATGGATATTTTTTACGATTTAAAATTATTTAATTTTTTTATTCATTAAGTTTTACGAAAGATTTTCAATTACTAATTGAAAATCAGAAGAAAGTGGAAAGGAAAAAAATTAAAGTATAAAAGAATTTATGATTATTTCATCAACAAATAAAATTCCTTATCAATTCCATTTCCTTTTTTTCTTCATTTGAGATAATAATTTTAATCAAATATAAATATAAATGAATTATAGACAAAAATAGAATATTTAAATAGTCTTTTTTTATTATTTATTATATAAATTTTTCTTTTTTTATTTTAATTTTAATTTTATTGTGTTCCTTTTCTCTCTTTCCCCTTTTTTTTGTGCTTTTGAATTATAATTATTTTATTCTATTAACGATTATTTCATTTCATATTTCATTTAAAATGAGAAAAAAAAACGAACGAATTCTTTTTCATTCCTTTTTTTTATCCTTTCAATATTTTATGTCAATATTTATTCGATCGATTTTAATCACAACTAATTTTCACAAGTGATGATTCATTCAGGTGATAATTAATGAAATGTTTTTTTTGGAAAATGGTAGGATAATAGTTGGGTATTAAATTTGTTCAACATTGAAGTATATAATTTAAGTATAGGCAATTCGATTTTTTTCCACTGATGATTTTAAAAATTTAAATTTGAAATTTTCCAATTTATAAATTTACAATAAATATTTTTTTTTTATTTCCCTGCCAAATACTTTACAGATAAAAAAAAAAAGGTTTAAAATGCAAATTTCAGGTAGTCCAGCAAATAAAGCAGGTCTTCAGGTTGGTGATCGTATCATTGAGGTGAATGGTTATCCAACTGAGGGCAAAAGTCATGCATACATTGTTAAACTTATTCATCAAGTATGTAGAATTTTTTTTTTTGTTAAATTTTATTTTTAAAAATTTTCATAAATCATTGCAAACAAATATTTCATTTTTTTTTTGAACAAATAAAAAAAATGAAAGTTTACCAGCCAAAAACTGGAAATATTCAATCCTTTTTTAGGATCATTGCAATTAAAAGACTGATATCGATCAATGCAATTAGTGATAAAAGGGCAAAGAATTTTAAATCTAAAAAAGCAAAAAAAAAATGATTATTTTAATGGATCATAGATTAATCCATGATTGATCATAGATTAATCCATTGATCGATCATAGATTAATCCACTGATTGATCCATTGATAAATGCACAAATTCTGTCTTAATTTATATACATTTAAAAAAAAACTAAAGATAGATGAAGAGTTTAAAGATCATATTAACAATAAACGAATAAAATTAAAAAGGAAAATTAATGAAGAAATGAAAAAAAAAATTAGCGAAATATTTAGAAGTATTTTTCATCATTCATATCAATGAAACATGTTTTAGTTAAATTCTAGTTTAAACAGATCGATTCGATACGATATAATCGATTAAATGTAATCGTTCATAGTGCTAAAATAATTATCTGGATTGCAATTTGCAATGAAGTTATTCATAATCCTCTCCATTATATGGAAATATTTTACAAAAGGTCATATCATATCATTTTGAAAGGTCATATCATCCATTTTATTCATCCGATCCGTTGCAATTCATTTATTCCATCGTTACAACTATCATCTATTCTCTCTCTCTCTCTCTCTCTCTCTCTGTCTTTATATGTGTATATATATATATAATACTTTTACCTTTTATTTGTAAAAAATAAAAGTGAAAAAAAAAAGTTTATAAATGTAAAGTATAATTTTTATACATTTTCAACGATTCATTACAATAGCTTGATCTATATCTGTTGCAATTTTAGCATTCTACTATTGTCATATTTGAATCATTGGTGACAAACTTGTTTTATTTCGAATAATCGTTAATGTATCCACATATTATCTCAACCAATATATTGTCAACTGTATTATTTAATTGCACCATTAATTGATTCATTTCTGTTATTATATGCGTTTTTTTTTTCAATTTTAAAATTTCTTTATACTTTTTATTTTTTTATACTTTATACTTTATACTTTTTATTTTACTATTTTTTTATATTTTATACTTTGCAGTTTTTACTTTTTAATATTTCTTATAGTTTATACTTTTTATTTTGCTATTTTTTTATATTTTATACTTTGCAGTTTTTACTTTTTTAATATTTTTTTATGCTTTATACTTTTTATTTCACTTTATGCTTTTTTTTTCATTTTCTTTTTTTTTACTTTTATTT